GTTAGAAAAATGTTTATTCGATCAGACCTCTGTGCAATTCCTAGGATATATCATTACTGAACAGGGTTTCAGTATGGATCCTGCTAAATTGGAAGCTATAATGTCCTGGCCACTTCCCCAAGGACTAAAGGCTATCCAGCGTTTTATAGGATTTGCCAACTATTATAGGAAATTTATAAAAAACTTTTCACCACTCATATCTCCCATAACGAAGTTGACAAAAAAAGGTCTACATCCTAGGGTTTGGACTCCTGAAGCCCTTAAGGCCTTCGAAACCCTCAAGAAGGCATTTGCCTCTGCTCCAGTGCTGCACCACCCTGATCCTTCTCTTCCCTTTGTTATGGAAGTAGACGCCTCAGAGTCAGGTGTGGGAGCCGTACTGTCACAGAGGTTGTCTTATGACAAACCCCTCCATCCCTGTTGTTATTTTTCTAAAAGGTTGTCTGATTCAGAGAAGAATTATGATGTTGGGAATAGGGAACTATTAGCTATTGTGTTAGCTTTCAAGGAATGGAGGTACTTATTAGAGGGTTCTAGACACAAAATTATGGTTATAACAGATCATAAGAATCTATCCTATATTGCTGATGCTAGAAGGTTATCTGCCCGGCAGGCTAGATGGTCTCTATTTCTCTCACGCTTCCAATATGTTATCACCTATAGACCTGGTTGCCGTAATGCCAAGGCTGACGCCATCTCTCGGCAGCATGAACCAGTAGAATTTGTTAACCCGACTCCTGAACCTATTGTACCTGAGTCTCAGATAATAGCTGCTACCCGTTTGGTTGTTTCTTCACCTTTCCTTACCAGTATTAAGACATACCAAACCCAGGCACCCCCTGAGACGCCGGTTGGTAAACTATACGTTGAAGCTAATGACAGAAAAAAGTTGTTAACTTTATTTCACACAGCCAAAACTGCTGGTCATCCGGGGGTTACCAAAACCTACAAGGGCCTCCTTCAACAGTTCTGGTGGCCTTCACTCAAGCGAGACGTAGTGGATTTTGTTCAGGCTTGTCAGGTCTGCACGCAATGTAAGTCCCCTAATATGAGACCCCAGGGTTTTCTGATGCCTCTATCTATACCCAAGAAACCATGGACCCACTTATCCATGGATTTCATTGTAGACCTGCCTCTTTCTGATGGTCAGACGGTGATACTGACTGTGACGGATAGGTTCTCTAAAATGGCGCACTTCATTCCGCTTAAGAAACTGCCTTCTGCGGTTCAGTTAGCTCAGGTATTTGCCAAAGAAGTGTTCCGATTGCATGGGGTACCCCAGGATATCGTATCTGACAGGGGCCCTCAATTTGTCTCTCGGTTCTGGAGGGGCTTTTGTGCTGAGATGGGGGTATCCTTGTCGTTTTCTTCCTCCTATCACCCGCAATCTAATGGTGCGGCCGAACGTGCTAATCAGTCTGTGGAATTGTATTTGCGCTGCTTCACTAATGCGCACCAGGATGACTGGTCTCGCCTTCTTCCGTGGGCTGAATTTGCCAGGAATACGGTGACTCATTCGTCTACTGGCTTAAGTCCTTTTGAGGTTGCTTATGGGTTTCGTCCTTCTGTCCTTCCCGGTGCGTTCTCCGACAAGGGAATGCCCGCCTTGGACCAGCACCTCGCCTCTTTGCGGAAGACATGGGATCAAGTCCATGTTGCGCTGTCTCGTTCAGCGGCTGCTCAGAAAAAGTTTGCTGATCGCCATAGGTTTGCGGCCCCTTCCTATGTTCCGGGTGATAGGGTATGGTTGTCCTCCCGGAACCTCCGTCTCAAGGTTCCCTCGATGAAATTCGCCCCCAGATTTCTTGGTCCCTTCAAGGTGTTACGTAGGGTTAATCCCGTTTCCTACTCCCTTGATTTGCCTCCTTCCATGCGTGTCCCGAACACGTTTCACGTCTCGCTTTTGAAACCCTTGCTGTGTAACCGGTTCTCTCGTCCCCTCGGGCGGCCCGTTTCCCCTCGAGCTGTCTCTGACGACGTGTACGAGGTGGCTACCCTTCTCGACTCTCGTGTTTCTAGGGGTCGGCTGCAATATTTGGTGGACTGGAAGGGGTACGGCCCTGAGGAGCGGTCCTGGGTTTCAAGCTCCGATGTGCACGCTCCCTCTTTGGTCCGCTCCTTTCATGCCCGCTTTCCTTTGAAGCCTTCCGCTTCCCACCCCCTGGGTGGTCTTCGAGGGGGGGGTAATGTCAGGCTCCCGCGGACGGCTGCGAGGGGAGGCTGCACTCCGCTCGCAGTACTCACCCTCCAGCCGTCCGCGGTCCCCTCCGCCTCGTGGGTACGGCGAGCGGCATCCTTCCAGCCTCGGATGCCGCCCGCCGTTCCCTCCACGTCCCCCAGCGGCAGCATGCATGACGCTGCACGCTGGGAGACCGCCCAGGGTTATACACGCCGGGTTCAGTCACCTGACCCGGCGTTAAAGGCAAAGTGCCACAATCACAGTGGGAGGTCTAAATATCTCCCACGTGTGATTGTTAATTCTGATTGGAAATCATCCAATCAGAATTAACCTGATGGTTTAAATACTTACCTTTCCTGTTCCTCCTTGCCCTGTTGTGGTCTTTGCTTGTTAGTATTGATTCTGAACTTGTGCTTCTGGTTACGTACTCTCTGGCTTGTTATCCGACTCTGTGACTTTCTCCTACCCTTTGACCTCGGCTTGTTTCACGTTATTCTGTCTTCTGGTTCCCCTTACTCGGCTTGTTCCTGACTATTCTTTGTGTGCTTAGCCCGGCCACTCTAAGGTCCGGTACGGCACTTTGTGTGTGTGTGTGTGTGTTGGCGTGTTTGGTTCCCCGAATCGTGTCACTGCGGGGCCTCCATGTCCTCCTCCTCCATGGAATCCTCCGAGTTAATGGAGCCTCATGCTGTGTCAGGGGCCATCTTGGTCCGGGCCTGGGGCCGCGGCCCATCGAAGGATCTTCGAATATCGGTCTGGCAATAGCCCTCTGTGTGGGTTAGCTTTCGGTGTTTGCGCCCCATCCTTATGTCGGAGGTATAGGCTGCAATATGTCTCCAATTATGCTAGTTTTCGTGGCTTTTTGGTTGTTTTTGTTGTCTGTTTAGCAAGAGCTCTGCACAGGCACGTCTAGTCGGTTGCTCAGCTGGCCACGCCCCCTCTCTTGTCTTTTTAAACCCTCCCCTTCTAACCCCACCAAGACTCTCTGTGGCTGTCCAATCACAGTCATTGCAAGTCAGGAGACAGGTGCTCTGGGCAATTGCTGCTCTTGAGTTTAACTTCACTGCGCTAATCAAACCAGGAAATAGCAGGACCGGGTGTGTAATTGACAGCCAGGGGGTGTAACCATGTTAATTTATAAAAGTGTTAATTTCTATTGAAATATGGAAAAAAAATGCAAAATTTAAAAAAAGGGGACACACTCTTGACACACAAATCTTTTCAGCAAGCTCAAGTGCTTTAGGGGTCTGGAGTGTCCCTTTAATTATTTACAAAAAAAATAACAGTAAAAATTCAGTGCCAGTTCCATTTATATTCTAAAGGAACACTGAGTTGAGCACAGTAATATCTGGACTACAAATAGACACATAAGTAAACAAAAAACATAATCCAAGACAGAGAAAGGTAGACCTAAACCCTTTATGGATAGAGTGGCATATAGTATCATTCATATAATCCAACATTCAAATATTAAAAAAGGTTTTACACATGGATTCGCTTTACCCACAAATGCCTCATGAACTTCATTTACTTGCAATGGACACTTTTGGAAATTAACGCACAGACACTTGAATCATCCCTGGTTTACTGAGTTAAGCAGCAAAAATTGTAATCTGTGATTATTTGATTATGATTTTGTTAATATCACTTTTGCAGCACTTACCAGAATTTCAGGAAATTGTTTTCAGTTGAATACAGATGCTGGGTTTTTACGAACACACACGTTTTATTTGCTAGAGGGGACTTTGCTAAAAAGGAAATGGAGAGACAGAAAGTGCTCCAGACAATTCTACAATTCTAATTGCCATTGCACTGGTACCAAAAACCTCTGTTAATTTAAATTTACATAGTTACATAGGCTGAAAAGACACATACGTCCATCAAGGCCAGCTTTTCTTACGTCGTTTTTTGTTATTGATCCAAAAGAAGGCAAAAAAAAACAACAAATTAGGAAAAAAGTTCCTTCTTGACCTCAGAATGGCAGCCAGTTCTCTCCTTCGATCAAGAAACTGTTTTCCACATTATAAGACTTATATTCCTGACTATTATATATTATATTTTTGGAAGAATTAATCCAGTTGCTGCTTAAACATTCATTCCCTATTGATCTTACTGTCAGATTAAATTTCCTTTCTTCCAGTCTAAATGCATGACCTCATGTCCTATGTATAGTTCTGCTTATGAACAGATTTCTGGACAATGGTTTGTATTGGCCCCGAATATATTTGGAAAGTGCAAACTTTTTGGGTTTTGTATTGTTAATGTATTTTTCCTCTTGAATACTGTAGCCATTGCTGCCACACAATGGACATGCGAGTGTGAGGACAATGCTAATTACTATTTTTTTTGTCGCTAAATGAAACTTCAGGCTGGTGGCTTTCCCTTTAGCTATACACAACGCTCCCCTATCTGCCTGTGAAAGACGAACCAAGGGGTCATAAAGGAGAAATTCCAGTATCTGTAATCATAGGCAAACTATAGGTAAAATTAATTGATGTACAAGCTGGAGACCGGAACCAATGATCAATGTGTGGCAAGTGGCTTGTTAAATCCCCGAAAATATCCTACCGGGGAGATTCTTCAATGAAAAAACAGGTGTTATTCTGGGTCAAGGTGTGAAATAAAAGAACAATCATCATGAAAACTTTTAGAATATCTCTTCACATCTTGCATTTTGCACAGAGTGTAGAACTGGTTTTGTCTTGATATAGATCCAATATCAATCTTTGTTACAATTCAAATTGTTATTTTAAAGTGCACTTGGAGGAGCGTGAATTCAGACACCAGACTCATGTTGGTTATCAAAACAAGCCTCTGACCTTTATTTTTGTGTTTTTATACATTAAAAAGTAAATGCTTACGTGCAAACACTCGTAGAACAGTAGTAGGAAGGGAGTGAAAGGATGAAAGGAGTACAGATAAGACATAGGGATGAACGTCATGTACATATAACAAATAAATTCCGGGAAAGAGAAGGAACAGACTGATTTAGGAGAGACAGCTCAGGTGGGGGCTATCTGCTCCTGGAACAAGACATACATGGTCTTAAGTGTCATTTTAAGCATTTCCTGAGTCCAAGTTAGCCAATTTTAATATCGGTTATCTAATACTACACCTATAAGCTTGAACCTTGGAATCAAAGTAAATTCTTTCACAATCCCCTCTTTTGATCTAAGGGTCACCCAAATGTCCAAGGTATTTCCACGCCTGCTAGCCAAAGCCTGTGGGACTTTCATTATTTCTTCACCACGGTTCCCTTGGACCGAGAGACCACCAGAATCAGCTATGGAGAGTTTCCTCATTTGTTATGCATCGTAAAAACCTTCCAAAGTTGGAGCTGGAAGGTAAGTTAAGGTAGGACTAACAGTAGATTTGTTTTAACATATAGAGGTTAGTAGACATGAGAAGAACTTAAAGGTTAGAAAACTGGCCATAATAACAAATACAGCTAATAGCAAAAATAACAAAATTTTCTTAATTAGCAAAGTCAGCCATGTTCCTAGCCCAAATGTACATTACCAATCCCAAAAGAAGCCAGTATCCTTTTTGATATCCTGTACTAAGTCATGTAAATCTTTTATATGTTTATGGATCATAGTGCCGTGGTCAGATAGGTTAAATCAGCACATACCTTCAATAGCTTCACAGCCTAAGTCATGTTTCATTAGTAAGTAGTCAATTGCTGCTCTATTCTCAAGGATTGCCTTCTTATTTGCATGAGTGTCCATAAGTAGCTCTTCTAGGGCCTGGGAAGTGGCATTTAAACCCTTTGCAAGGGAACAGGCTACAGCATTAATTACTCGGGTATTATACAGTGCTAAGCCTGGGACTCCTACCATAGAGTACGCAAGGGAAGAGTATTAGGGTTTCTTGAACAATTACATGAAAAAGACCAACGTAGTTCAGGGCTAGGGGGGGTTGCCTACCAGTGGGTTGAAAACTTAAGAGTGTAGTTGTAGAGTTTTATGGGGTCTATGTAGGTACTTCCTCAAGAGTGAGATGGGAGTAGGGACAGCTATAAGACAAGATTTCAGGCTGAGGAGAGGGTTGAGGCAAAAGGAGGTTGTAAGGAAACCAAGTATATTTAAACCTCATTTGGTAGTTTCCTCCCGAACCGCCAGAGCCTTAGTGATTATAGCCCTCCGTTCGGTAGATAAAGTAGACGAACCATATAGTAATCCCAATAGCTTCACAAGATGATTCCCTTAGTGAAACACACGAATCCCCAAACATCAGCCGAAGTCAAGAAGAAGGGTACAAAATGAACTAACTTTTAATGGGTGCACACAGGCTTTTATGCAAGTCCCCATGCAAGGGGACATCCCTCAGGGAGGGACAAAGATTAACCAATCACGTACTGTAAAAACATAACACACACCCACAGTTCCCTCCCCTAGCTCTGGAGATAATTAAGTCTGATAAAATAATAACTTAATTATTTCCAGGCAGAAAAATCACATTTATCCCCAATAACTGGGACACCCCCTTATACTTGGAGTATCCCCACATGTCCCCTGATAGCCCTGATCTGGGTGACAAACATATCCGAATTTCACCGAGATCGGTTCAGGGGTTCGCAAAAACTATGGAGGTCTTCTGTGACTGGCTCACCCTGGGCTATATGCCCAAAACAGTTCCATGGGTTTGGTGGGATTTGCCGGTCACTTTAGAAAGAGAAGAAAAGCGAACAAAGTACCGAATGGATCCCACTGGCTCTTAGCAGCGTTCATTCCCCTCTGTCGAATGCCCCAAAGTACCGAATAGCGCTCTTCTAGCTATTCGGTAAGTAGAGTTCCAGCGTTCGTCTGTTTGAGACTGGTGTTCGGGAAGTCGAGTGTCCCTTTTCAGTTCCATACACTCGACGACCAAGTCCTGCTGCCTTTGTTCGCATGAACAAAGATGGCCACGGTTTTCTCTGCCACGTGGCATTCGGCTGTACGAACGCTGGCCGCACAGACAGAGTTAGCAATTGAATCAGTCTTTGATGTTTAACGAGCCAGGGGGGTGGTCTTTGTTCGGTAGTTACATCTACCGAATGCAATAGGCAGAAATAGTGTAACAAAAAGGCAGATTTCTTCACAGAGGTTAAATTAAAAGCCTTTGCTATCTGCATCCATATATTTTCATGCCCTGCATTACTATCTTCTGGTCTCAAGTCAGAGTAGCATATCTGAAAAAAAGCATACAATGGTAAAGAATAAGAACAGGTTCATATTGGTGGATCAGTTGGAGTGACTTGTTTATAGTGACTGGCATGTATCCACGTGACTTTTCCTTCTAGTTTAACTGAGGTAGTCGTAGTCAGGAGCACTTGGAATGGACCGTCAAAGCGTGGTTCAAGTCCTTTCCTCATATACCTCTTTATCACCACCCAATCACCAGGCTGCAGTTTGTGAGTTGCAGAATCAGAGTCTGGATCAGGCATGGAATCAAAGACTTGTTTATGCATCCTGCCTAATCTTTGGTGTAGGGCCTGTACATAGGCAGTCATACTACCATGCTACATCTGGAGGTTTGGGGGGAAATAGAGGCCTGTCTTTGGGGCACATCCAAACAGGATCTCAAGGCATTCAGTACAGGGCTTCCCTGTGTCTTGCATGGCTTTTGCAATCTTGTTCTTTAAAGCGGCACTGTCATGCCGAATCCTGTTTTTTTTTAACCCCCCTCCGGCCTCCACTACATCTAACTAACACCCTAGTCACCCCCAAATGCCCCTAAGCCCCCCACATTACCCATTTTTTAATCTTTATTTTCTGTCCCGATCTATATTCAGGGCGCAGCCATCTTTGTATGGGTAGATGAAGTCCCTGTGGGACACGTCATCAGCCCACACTAGATAGCCTGTGAGATTCCCGCACATGCCCAGTGAAACACCTGGACATGCGAACGGGAATTTCATCTATTCATTCATTCATCAGACAGACGAATGAATGAATAGAAATATCAGCCGAACAAACACTGTGTATCAGTGTTCGCTTGTTCATGCAGGTTATTACAAGGAGGGAGCTACCGGCATGCAGCTCCCTTCTTGTAATATGTAAAGATAGAAGTGGCAGGGAGCAGTGCTCCCCACCACTTCATAAGCCCCCCCAGGCCCCCCCTAACTCTATGGGGGTCAATATGACCCCCATAATAGCACAAGGGAGATTAAAATCTCCCCAATGCCCCTACTCGCTATACCGTGAGTAGGGGCATATCCACTAAACAGTGAGCAGCCTGTGGCTGCTCACTGTAAAAAAATAAAAAAACAACTATTGGCCCCCACCCCTAAACGATGGGTGGGGGCCCTAAAGTAAGATAAGAGGGGAGACCTAATGTCCCCCCCTCTGGCCCCCACCCCAATGAGAAGGGGTGGGGGCCGGGGGGGGAGGACAGTAGGTCCCCCACCTCATTATCTTCATGGCCCCCACCTGCCGCCCAGGAGTGGGGGCCTGGGGGGGGGCAGTAGGTCCCCCCCCTCATTATTGCCCCCACCCACCGCCCAGGGGTGGGGGCCAGGGAGGGCATTCTCACTATGGCCCCCATCCGCCACCCAGGGGTGGGGGCCGGGGGGGGGCAGTAGGTCCCCCCCCTCATTATTATTTTTTTTTACAGTGAGCAGCCACAGGCTGCTCACTGTTTACCAGACATGCCCCTACTCGCGGTATAGCGAGTAGGGGAATATTATTTACTAATACTAAGTAATTATTACTTGGTATTAGTAAAGTTGGCTGAAAGACCAGTTTAGGTCATTCAGCCTTTTAGTAGATAGCTCCCTGATACCGTGGGAATTAGGGAGTTATCTACTAAGCGGCTGCAAGATGCAGCCACAGCAATCAATAGGATCGGAGTTTCATTCATTCGAATGAAATTCCGATCCGAATAAAGTGCCGAATTGCGTTCTAAAAGAAACGAACATACTGTTCTCATTCAGTTAGAACGTGTGACAGAACCATCTGTCTGCTTGTATTTTAATTGCATTCATCTGTTTGTCTCCCGTATGAATGGCTGGTTTCTATAGCCCAGCCATTCGAATGACTCTTTTTCCCGAACAAACCTGCCGAACGGACGGCCACCCAGGAGAGAAGTGTGCTGCTGGTTAACCTATTGATCCCAATTAGAACGCTGTGGTTAACCGCAGACACTTCTCAATTAAACCGAATTCAGGGTGGTCGTCGTTCGTATGTCGACCACGAGGCAGCGGCCATTTTAAACCAAGCGAAAGCCCAGCGGTGTTTGGCTCTATTTCTATGGAACTAAAAATGGACACTTTTTCTGCCGAACACCGCTGAAACCACGGAATGCCTGGCTGCCTCCACGAAAGCATACGAATACCGGCAGTTCGGGAGATTTGGAGCATACGAAAAGACTTAACCCAGATAGCCTTCCCATGGAGTCATTCGTATACCGAAAGACTGTAAGAACTTTGACTCCATGGCGATTGAACTATGTGTGTGGGATCTGAGCGCTATTCGCTAATAATATGCACTCAGATCCAGGCTATCTGGGGATATGTGATACGAATGGGAAATGTTCGGTTATTTTGAAGTTATGCATTTTTATGTCTTTTATGATTTTATATTTAAGATGGCGACTGGCTTTGTCCTGGAGTTAATTGAGTTACTTGGTAATTAACTCCAGGGCAGAGGGGAGGGAATCATAATGCACTGTGGGTAAAATCTGTGACTGTGTGTCTGGAATGTCCCCATATCTGTCTGTCATTTAAGTCTCCCATTTGGTCCCCTAGGGGAGTGTCCACCAAGTGGGAGACCTGCATAAATACGGGCAGGTAGCCCACAGTAAAGCCAGATCCTGTTTGACCCTCAATGCGGAGCTTCTGTCTCGTTATTGGGGGGATTTCTTCTTCACGTTTAGAGACTGCTGGATGGAACGGAAGCCACTTGGTGAATATTGTTGTTTGGCGGCTAGCAGCAGTTCGTGTATTGCCGTTCGGGAGTTTGGAGCCGTTCACGGATCCCGGTCGGGAGATTGCCACTTCCCCTGCATTTGGTTCGTATACTACAGATTAAGCGAACGGAGTTACTGTTACTGCAGCCGGGGAAGGTCTATTAAACGGCGGTTTTGCCTAAAGACACTGGAGGTGTCTTAACAATTGGTGGCAGCGGTGGGATGAGTCCCACAGCATTGGAGGTCAGCTACAAGACATGCAGTACGAGGAACTAAGGCGTGCTACACTTAAGGACATATTGGAACGAAATTATTGCTGTACTACTGGAGATGGATGCAGCACCGGGAATGGAGAGAGTCAATGTGCCCAGTACCTTGGATTTAACACCCGAGGAATTACAATTTAACCGGGCAGTGCAAATAAGGCTGGCACATTTTGGCCCCAACCCCTCAGCTGACATCGTGGAGCGTGTGCAGGCAGCAGTAGCAGCACACCAGGTGCTCCAGGAAAGAGGAGCTGCAGCAGCAGAGGTACCCAACAATAATAATGTTTTTGCTAGAAAGAAGGTACCCTTTGCTGCATTTAAAAACTTTGTGGAAACAGAGGGAGAGATTGATGGGTTCCTGGCGGACTTCGAGAGGCAGTGTGCTCTACACCAGGTACCCGCAGATGAATGGGTCACCATCCTCTCTGGGAAATTATCCGGCCGGGCTAGTTAAGCGTTTCGGGCCATCCCAGAGGAGGAGATCACCAGCTACCGGGCTGTGAAGGATGCACTCCTAGCCAGGTATGCGGTGACCCCAGAAGCGTACAGGCAGAGGTTTAGAGAAACCAATAAGCTGGTTGGGGACTCTTATGTGGAGTGGGCCTGCAGAGTTCATCGTACCGCAGCCCACTGGATGGCAGGATGCCAAGCGGTAACTGGGGAGGAGGTGCTACAAGTGTTCCTGCTGGAGCACTGCTTTGATAGACTACCTGCTGGGGTCCGGGAGTGGGTCAGAGATAGAAAACCCTCTACCCTACCCGAGGCTGCTCATCTGGCAGACGAATACACGGATGCCCGCAAGTTGGATGGTACAGCTGCCAAAGCCCCTGCCAGACTGGAGTATCGACCAGCAGTAACACCCGCTCCTTCAGCCTACCAACCCCCAGTACACCGTACCCCAGCCGCACCGCCAGCTAACAATTATGTGCAGCCATCCCGATTTAATGCCCGGGATTATTCCCAACCTATCCGGTGCTTTGGGTGCAAGCAGTTGGGGCACAAGCGTCCCGAGTGCCCACTGAACAGTGCCAACCAAGCCCAGTCCTGGAGGAGACCAGCCAGTGGGAACCAGCAGCCACCTCAGCCTGCTGCTCACTGCATAGAGCAGGAGGAGTTCTGGGGCATCCTACACGAGGCCGACCCAGTGCAAGCAGCTCACCAGGATAATCGCCAGCAACATCGGCAAACCGTGAAGCTGAATGGCAGAGTGGTAAATGGGCTGAGAGACACAGGAGCCACGATGACACTGCTCCAAAAGAACTTGGTCTCGGAGCATCAGCACACTGGGGACACTGTGGCAGTAAGGGTAGCAGGGGGTGCCGTGTTTCGCTTACCTGTTGCCCGGGTACATTTGGATTGGGGAGTGGGCGCTAGACATGTGGATGTGGGGGTGATGAAAGACTTGCCCGCAGATGTTCTTCTGGGAAACGATTTGGCCCCTTTGGTTTCAGCCTATGCTCCGATGGGCCCTGCAGATGTGAACCCAGTGACCACCCGTGCCCAGACCCGTGCTGCCGGAACCAGCCCACCTGCTGATGAGACCCAGGTAAGATCTCCTTCCCCGACTGGTACCCCAGATCAGGTCCCCTTAAGCTGGGATTCCCCAGAGGAGTTTGGGAGGGAAACCCGGGCAGATCCGACCCTGCAAAAGTACAGAGACAGGGCAGATGCTGGAGAGGAAGGAATAGATGGGGAACGGTATGAGTGGGTGGGGGACAGGTTATATAGGATCCCTAAGCCTTCCCAGAAGAGTGTTGCCCCTCCGCCGAATCGCCAGTTAGTGGTACCTGCAAAGTACCGGCAGGAGATTCTGCGGATAGGGCATGATGTTCCGTTAGCTGGACATCTAGGGTCCCGCCGCACAGCCTATAGGATCTCACAGAATTTCTTTTGGCCTAACTTTAACCAGGCTGTGCGGATGTATTGCAGTACGTGCAACACATGTCAACGGGTAGGAAAGCGGGGGGACCACCCTAAGGCTAGGTTATTATCGATGCCTATTATAGGGGAGCCCTTTGCCCGCATAGCCGTTGACATTGTGGGTCCACTGGTCAGGGCTAGTCCATCAGGTAAGAAATACGTTCTTACCGTGGTGGACTATGCCACTCGCTATCCAGAGGCAGTAGCGCTGTCTAATATAGAGGCAGAGACGGTTGCTGATGCCCTGGTTAGAATTTTTACTAGGGTCGGGTTTCCTAAGGAGATTCTCTCCGACCAGGGAACCCAATTCACCGCTGTGCTCACCCAGCAGCTGCGGAAGGTGTGTGGCATTAAGCCGTTACTTAGCTCACCCTACCACCCACAGACTAACGGTCTCTGCGAGCGCTTTAACGGTACCCTCAAACAGATGCTGAGGACCTTTACAGACAGGTTCATTCCCCTCTGTCGAATGCCCCAAAGTACCGAATAGCGCTCTTCTAGCTATTCGGTAAGTAGAGTTCCAGCGTTCGTCTGTTTGAGACTGGTGTTCGGGAAGTCGAGTGTCCCTTTTCAGTTCCATACACTCGACGACCAAGTCCTGCTGCCTTTGTTCGCATGAACAAAGATGGCCACGGTTTTCTCTGCCACGTGGCATTCGGCTGTACGAACGCTGGCCGCACAGACAGAGTTAGCAATTGAATCAGTCTTTGATGTTTAACGAGCCAGGGGGGTGGTCTTTGTTCGGTAGTTACATCTACCGAATGCAATAGGCAGAAATAGTGTAACAAAAAGGCAGATTTCTTCACAGAGGTTAAATTAAAAGCCTTTGCTATCTGCATCCATATATTTTCATGCCCTGCATTACTATCTTCTGGTCTCAAGTCAGAGTAGCATATCTGAAAAAAAGCATACAATGGTAAAGAATAAGAACAGGTTCATATTGGTGGATCAGTTGGAGTGACTTGTTTATAGTGACTGGCACAGGGGCGGACTGACCA